GGGATTCCGCGCGGCGCTCTGCTCAGCGCCTCGCTCGACCGTCGTCGCTCTGCCCAGCGGCCGGAGCCTTGCCCGCAATCAGCCGGCCGGCTAGCTCTCTGTGCTCCGCGCAGCGGACGACCTGCGCGCGTCGCCGGGGCCCCTCCGCGGCGACCTGCGCGCGTCGCGGGGACTCCGCGCTGCTCTGCGCCCGCAGCTTCGGTTTTTTGGAGCGCGCAGGCAAAGAGGGGGGAGAGGAAGGGGCGGAAGCGGGTGCGATCCCCGTGAGGGGCGTGCCGACATGGGCGTCGCGGCGCGCGGGCGCTGCCGTCGGGGTTCCCGCGGAAGCTGCCTGCGGCGGCCACGCCCAGTGTCACGAGTGTTCGGACAGGCATGCTCGAGCCATTCCCATTCATATACATTTACACTAGGCGTAGCCAAGATCGTACTCATGTGAATATACTCACTCCCGCGCAGACCCATTCACACTCAGACTCTCTCGCGCTCTGGCTCACCCGCGTTCATTCTTTCGTAATCTGACCTATCGTATTCCTTTGCGTTGTGTACCCCGCCATATTTCGGCATACCCCTCATGCGATTCGTGGCCCCATACGGGGCGCCACCGAGGAAGGTACTCACAACTGCGGCACTCACAACTGCATATGGTTGGGTCTTTCGCCAGGATAATTTTTGTTTTTCGTCGAACGTCCCCCCGTAGGGGGACGGGCCCGACTTACTGCGGGCCCGACTTACTGCTAGTAGGGCGCCAGCACCCCCTTTCGGCACACCCCTCGCGCGCGGCGTGCCCGGCGCACGCCCCTGGCGCGCTGCGCGATGCCCACAGAGCACTCCGCTGGTGGCCCCCAGTGGGATCGTGCTCGCCTGGCGGCTTTGCCCCGTGGCCCCACCGACGAAGAAGAAGCAACGCGATGAGCATAAACTTCAGGAGGGGAAAAAACACACAAACACAATTATTCGTCGATTCCCAGAAAATATGCGAAAATATGGGAAGTGGGGGGGAAGACAGAAACACAGAACATATGGGAAAATATGGGGAGTCTTTTTATTGGTGTGTATTGTTTTGTGTATCCCAGGGCCCCTTCAAAACTTCTATGTTCATGTTTTTTTTTTTTTCTTCCATCACTGGGCGTGCTCGCATGGCCTCCTCGCGGTCCTGTCGGCACCTCTCGCGCGTGCCGTGCCCCACTAGGTTTTCCACCTGCGCCCTCCGAGGGCGTGCTCGCGTGGCGTCGGGCGAACTCGTCAGCCAGGACCTGCGCCCTCCAAGTCCGCTGGACTGAAGTCGGGAGTTGCTGGGGATGTTTGGGATTTTTCCCCCAGAATCCGCCTGCAAGGGGACATTCCCGACCTGTGGCCAGGCCAGGCCCCCAGGGAGGGGTTCAGGGAGGGGCAGCAACGCCACGCGCCGAGGGACCCCCACGGGGCTGGCGAATACAGATTTTCTTAGTGAAAGTCTTGAGCTCAAGGAGAGCGGATTCGACATGGCTGTTTCCCAAGATGTGCTGTACCATCTAACGGAAGAGCCGGTGTACAACCATCATCTCGAGACGTTATTTTCGCTCTCGAGGCGCTTAGTGATTATCTACACGCATTGCCCGATGAAAGATTACCGCGAGTACCGCACGCATTGGGGCCCGTTTTATCGCCGTCATGTTTTCAACCGTCCCGATTTAGTCTATCTGATGTCGAAGTTCAGACATCTTGGCTGGATTCTTCTAGCTGAGACGTACAAGGCGCGGTCAGTTGGATCGGAGGCTGGCAGGGCTGGCCATAACGAGGCGGAGATGGTCCACAACAGAGAATGCAATGTGTTCTATGTCTTCGTGAAACGTGCAAGCGGTGTTTCGAGCAGATGAAAAGCATAAAGATCTCTTTTATTCGGCAGTCAATGTGTGACATTGTGGGAACTTCTTGGAACTCGGCACCAGTATGAACAAACTACAACTCAACGTTACCAACATTTGCAACGGCGATAGCCGACCTCAGGCGTAGCGGCAGTTCCCACAAAAGCAGCAGCAGTTGCCGCAGCCTAGACAGTAGCAGCGGGAGTGATTGATAAACACTGTAACCGCAGCTTCAGCAGCAACATCCGTGACGCCTCGCGAAACGTTCGTCCGCTCTGCCCGCCGTGCCGTCCAGTCAGCCCGAATAGCAAAGATTATCGACTTCCCGGGCAGTCCCTTGTGTATCCTCGCCTCTTCGATTATCTTCGGTCCGTCCTTAGCCACTTTCGATGCCCAGCCCCGCTCGAAGAGCGTTGGCATGGGCGTCCAAGGCCCCTGCATCCTTACCGTTGTGGAAGTCGATTATGGAGAGGAAGCATGCTGCCAAATAATTACCATATGTCTAAAACATGTTTCAAACATGTGCTAGCCATGTAAACGCATGTTTGAAACATGTGTTTAGAGCATGTTTTTCACATTTGAAACACATGTTTATTCAATGATCGGATTGGTAGGGTGTCCACCGTCATGGCATCCACGACCTTACCGCGCGTTGACTGCAGCGTCCTGCAAGTGCAGGCCGGGATCCGTGCGCGCGCGTCGCGAGGTCCTGCGCGGAGACTCGCCTCGGCCGCCCCTCGCCCGCCCGCGGCAGCGGCCCGCGCGCGCATGGGCCGCAGAGGGCGCCACCAGAGGAGCCTTGGCTCTGGCGTTCGCGCGCGGCGTTCACATGCTGCGCGGCCCTCGGAGCGCCCATTCGCCCACAGCACAGCACACATCGTCTGTCCTGAGCCCCTCCCCACACCTCTTTCGTCCCCGCCCGACCTGCGCCAGCAAAGTTCAGAGTTCACATGGAGTTTCCGGCCTCGCCCATCTCCTGTCTTTCTCTCCCTCCACGGCCATGCCAGCGGCGCCCGTTGCCGCCGTTCCCGCTCCGCCCTGGGGGGCTGCCCGCGTCGGCCTCAGCGCGTCCGCCCGCGGCAGCATCATCATCATCATCATCATCATCATCATCATCATCATCATCGTCATCAGCATCATCGTCATCAGCATCATCATCATCATCATCATCGTCAGCATCATCGTCATCAGCATCATCATCAGCATCATCATCATCGTCATCATTAGCAGCATCATCATCAGCATCATCAGCATCATCATCATCAGCAGCATCGTCATCGTCATCGCCATCATTGTCAACATCATCGCCATCATCATTAGCATCAACATCACCATCATCCTCACCACCATCAGCATAATCGTCATCAGCATCATCGTTATCATCATCGTCACCATCACCATCACCATCATCACCATCATGCATCATGCATCATGCATCATTCATCGTTCACCATTCATCACTCACCATCCAGAGTTCATCATTCATCAGTCAGCATCTTCATCACCATCATCATCACCATCATCAAAATCACCATGACCATCACTACCACCATCGTCATCATCATCACAAGCATCACCAGCAACATCGTCATCACCATGACCATGACCATCAACATCATCATCATTATCATCATTATCATCATTATCATAATCATCATCATCATCATCATCATCATCATCATCACCATCACCGCATCTCCCTATGGAGCTATGCACATATCGGGGCGACGCCCCCATGGTACGCCCTGAGACTGGTAGAGCCTGAGCGCGCGCGAAGGCGCACGATGGTCCTACAAGGTATATATGTATACGTGTGCAAGGCGACCTGGACTAGGGATGACTCCAATTCGCCATGCGACTGTCGTCCCCCCTGGAGCGAACACACTTGCTCAAAAGATTTCAAGGGGGCGCCTTGACGGTCCAGTGTTCCTTCAGGACGCTCCCAGGAAACCCAAGAAGCGTCCAGTAGATTCAGCGGGCGGGTGCAATAGGTGATATT